TTACCAAATCATTTGATACTTTTCTATATAGGTTACCAATTAAGTTTTTTTAAAACCTATAGGATTATAAAATAATAAAAGTTTATGTTTTCCTATGGTGCAATCTAGAGAGTATACTGCTATTTAAAATGTAAGACTTATGTATGTAGTGAAATAAGAACTTTTAAAGACTCCCGTTAGTGTCGCTTTAGGAATCTTCGTAATTTGATACAATACTTTGGTGTCATTGAATTGTTTTCTGAATTTAGCATTAATACGAATCTTCATCATGGGACATCAGCCTAGCTGTCCAAAGCAGCTATAAAAGTGAAACATTTACCAACTTGAAAATTACAGAGTAAATCATGTAATAGGCAGAAGCAAGAAACCAATTGTTTTATTTGAAATTGAGAATCGTGTCATAGTTCATAGTCACAGCTTCTCACTTGTTTATCTTTTGGCCTAGTTCTCTTCTTCTCATCTGGCCTGACTCAGAGAAGCCATGATGTTGCCTCTTGGCAATAAAATGCTAAAGGAAAAGCATTTTCTTCTTACCTAAAACAGAGCCCAAATAATTAACTGTTATTTTCAATTTTTAGTGGAAAGCAAAAATAATTTGGAGGGTGCATAATGAACATTAAAACACTTTTAAAATTAGTCTTCACGTAACAGCGTAATTTTTTAAAACATGGTCATTGTTATAATTTTAGCAGAAAACGCCTACTGAGCTCTGTAAAGAAACTTTAAAGCGGTCAGTGGGTTCGCTTCTTTATACTATAGGCCCTTGTGGAACTCCTTACAGGTACACTTGCTGGGTTCCTGGATTTCTGATTCCACCATCCCCAGGTTTCTAATTCCCTGGTCTTTGATTGTTCCAGGCATTCGTATTCTTAAAAAACTCAGGAACCATCACTTGAAAGGGTCTTTTAGCTTAGGAGGGAATAAATGCTTCCTTTCTTTGATTAATGCTGATGCTCTAACTTGGCGGGTTGGTGATTCTGGTGGTGCTGGGTTGCACACCAGTGTACTCTGTGTGAACGGTACTTTCTGGAGTTGTGACGCGGCAATGCTTCTGCTGCTGTTGCTGCTAATGCTGCTAATGCTAAATGCTAGTCCGTCCTTCTGCGAAGCCCAGGTGCCAGGCCCATGCTATCCATTAGCAGTGAGTGCCTGGACTTGTGCACCTGTGCTTCCATAGTAATCTAAACAGAAGGCCAAAGGCCCCGTGATTGGTATTTTGAGGGAACTGCACAGGTTGACTTCCCTGCCAGTGTTTATTCCCTGTAATCCACAGTCATAATCAGATTTCATTAGTTAACCCCAAAATGTCCTTTGAGCTATTTTTTTTCCTCCTCGTCTATAATCCAATTTGGGTTGATGTATTTGCATTTAGTGTCATGCCTTATTTTTATTATTTTATTTTTTTGGTTATTATTTTTTATTCCCATCTCCCCTTTGGCAACCATTAGCTTGTTCTCTGTATCTTTGGGTCTTTTTGTTTTATTTATTCATTAGTTTTGTTTTTTAGATTTCACATGTAAGTGAAATCATATGGTATTTATCTTAGTCTGTCTTATTTTGCTTAGCATAATACTCTCTAAGATCATCCATGTTGTCGCAAATAGCAAGATTTTATTCTTTTTTATTGCTGAATAATATTCCACTGTGTGTGTGTATTATATCTTTTTATCCATTCATCTATTGATGGACATCTAGGTTACTTCCATTTCTTGGCTGTTAACAGTAATGCTGCAGTGAACCTAGGGGTGCATATATCTTTTCAAATTACTGTTTGTTTGCTACTGGGATTGTAGCAACCCCAAGGTTACCAGACAGCATACTGGGCTGCAGCTCTGAACTCTGGTTTGTTAGTACACAAACCTTTTCCCTTGTAAAATTAGAAACTGGGACCTTAGAATCTGGAAATTGGGGGGAAACAGAAGAATCCAGTGATAGTGAATAATTTACCCCCATCTTCTCTCTCCTGAGGCCCATCTGATCACTTCCCTTCCCTGTTTCTGTCCACACTTTCTGTCCTGGCTCTTGCTTTCCCCCCTGACACTCATCCAAACAAAAATGGGACAAGTTGCAAAGGAGCCTGGCTTGCATTTTGAAACGTGTTACATCACAAAGGAATCCAAATAAGAGGAGAGGATAGGCAAACCAAAGCAGATAACTCCTGGGTGGAAGGAGGGGCATGGTTCTTCCTCAGCAGGTAACCCCATTAGTGGAGTTGGGTAGGACTGGGGGCTGGTCAGTGATTTCTCTTCGCATGCAGGTCTGTTGAGTGGAGGATATGATCTCCTAACACAGACTCAGTATTTGTTGGTCACTTATTTACTACTAGCAAGAGCTTAGAGCAGGGGAACAAAGAACCTTTCATGTAGTGGGCAGACCTCCTCTGACTTGCTGGCTAGGGCCACAGTGACCTTGGGCAGAGGTCACTGCAGGACTGCTTAGCAAGTCAGACAGGAGGATTTCCTGAGAGGTCAGAACTCACTATTTCCAGCCCTCTGTGGGAGGCCAGGCTCATCCAGATCTGGAAGAGGGGACCGGCCTTAGAAGACATGCAGGGGATTCCCGATTTCTCTGGGAGGGCTGGGCATCCCATTTGATTTTCCAGAATGCATAGCACTTGCCAGGCCAGAAATTATTAAAAGCTGTCTTCAACTTATGACAGACTACAGGTGTTTTCTTGCTGTACCCTAAAATCCATGTACTTTTTGTTGTTATATCAGATTTTTAATTGTAATACTGTTTTACTTTAAACATATGTATCTTGGTTTCGTTGTTAACTTAGTGTTTTGAAATCAAAACGTTCATTCCATCTACTCAGGTTAAGGAAAGATGATCATTTGACTTGTTGGTGTTCTCAGTATTTTTTTTAATGTGCTTTATTTAAAAAAAAAAAAAAAGTGGTGGAGGAGGGGGGAAACAAATGCCAATAATCCCAGGAGAGTGAATCGAAAGCGACTTTCTTTTTCATTGCAGTAGAAAGCCAGATAAATATCTATTTTTTTTCCTGCTTCAGGTCAGAAACCCTTCCCTTGTCAAAAATGCGACGCCTCCTTTTCCACCAAATCTAACTGTGAACGCCACCAGTTGCGCAAACACGGAGTTAACAACTGTTCCCTGAGAAGAAACGGGCTTATCCCCCAGTCAAAAGAGAGTGATGTTGGACCCCATGATAGCACAGGTAGTGCCTCCAGGTGATGGAGAGGAGGAGAGGGAGAGAGGAGGGCCAGTTGGTTAGCTTCCATAGCCTTGGTTAGATGCCTAGCAAACTCCAGCCCTCCAAGCATGGCAGGGCTGCCTTTGCCACCTCCCTATAGGACTCCACAGTCCAGAAGAGTGGGCCCTGCCAAGCACTAGGAGCATACAGCAGGATGGGGATATGGGAAACAATGACAGTGCCCCTAGGTTGCTTTTCTGAGCTACTAGGGAAGATCTGTCTTTCTCCAGCAGAACCCTTTGTTCAGGTTTTTGGGCCCTGCTGGAGGTGGGATAGGAGGGAGGGTGTACAGATTTAGCTCTTGGTAGGAACCCAACTAAAAGGGATGTGAAACCTTAAAGGCTTGGGCTGTTGTTTTCTCAAACCCCAGCCTCTGCTGCATCCTGCAGAGCAGGGGTGGGCTCCCAGATGTCAGGGTATTGCAGGAACTAGAAGCCCAGCCCTTGACAGGGAGGGGCAGGGTGGAGTTGGGAGTGTTTTTCTTTTCAATAACTCTTCCCAGTTATTAAAAAAAAAAAATTTTTTTTTTTTTTTTGCCTTGTTTGAAAAAGCACTCTGCATGTCCTTTCTTTAATCACATTTCTGCTTGACCTGAATCCGGGTATTATTCTTCTGTGCTGATATGCGCTTCCTTCCTCCAGCCCACTACAGAGCAATTAACGGCTGCCAGTGCTCTCGTGCCACCTTTTTTTTTTTTTTTACCCTTACAGCTTCTGTATTTACTCATGTCCTCTATTCAGTACACTCGCCGTTTCCAGCTGCTGGGGTTCTGCACCCTCCACCCCACAGTCTAAAAATTGGCTGCTGCAGGTCACTTAGACACACAGCTAAGCTGGCTGTTGATTAGTAACAGTTGTATAGGTGTGGGTTCAGTTCTGTAAGTCCTGAAAGCTTGGCGTTTTCTGATTACTTGAAGCAGATGAGATTTCCCCAGGTGTATTTTTCTAGGATTGTAATTGAGTCCTGTGCTTCTCTCCCTCAGAATTGGGTAGGGAAGGGGCTCTGCGTTGTTTGAGAGTTGTTGCCCCTCCCTTACCCCCCAGTTACTGTGGACTAAAGGGTCAGCCCCCTTTCTTTATCTCAGTTACGGGGGGAGAGGGGTGCATCTGGATGGGTAGCATGTCCAGGAAGAAGATTTGATCCAGAACCTTCTGCTTTATCCCTGCACCTCCCACTGAACCCTAGTGAAACAAGTCCTTGAACTGCCAGGCCCTTCAGTTAAGATCAAACCCTCTAAGGTATAAAAATGTAGACTAGTGTGCTGGCTCCACCCCTAGCTTCCATTTCCACATAAATTGCCAGGATCTGTGAGTAAAGAAAGATGTGGACGCCCACAGAATTTTGCCGTGACTTGAATCCACTTGAGCCAAAGGTGGTGGATGATCTGTTCTGTTCAACCCCCAGGAAACCCGCAGCAATGCTGGCAGAACTTGAGTTTGCTGCAGACGATCACTCTTAAACAGTGGGCACCGTGTGACCTAGTGGCTAGCACATTTCCTCACAATCTGGTTTAGAAAGCAGCTATGTGACTCTTTTACCTGTACTGGTCCCAAAGGAAGGGAGAGCAGTGGCTATCTAAGATAGTCAAGGGGGCCCCTTGGTTTCCCAAGTTTGCAGACAGGTCTTAAAGTGTAATAACCATGTGCTGGATGCACATTTTGGGTTCCACTTCTTGATCATGAGGACGAACGCCAAACCCCGGACTCCTGCCGACCTCTGAGGGGGCAGCTGTAGTAGAAGCCTGCAGACAGAAAGCTAATCGGAATCTGTGTCTTGGCTTTTTTGCACCTAGTTTTACATTGTGGGTGTATTTAGTTTTTAAATTTGTAGTGAAGAGTTTTTGTCTTTCCAAGTTCAGTCAGAGTCCTTCCCTACTTCTGCCCTGCTGCAGGAGTTCCGTAGGTTTTCTTTAAGGGACAAAGCTTCTGGAAAAAGAGAATTCACTGAAAGTTGTAATGTGAAACCGGCAAAGAGAAAATATATGTTTGGTTTAATTGTGGTCACAATCCATGGTAAGAAAGAGGACTGGGGTTTAAGAAGGGGAAAAAAGGGTCAGGGAGGTGAAGTTCAGTGATTTCAAGGAGAATTTTTAAAGCCAGGTGAGCGTGATGGAGGGGTGAAGGGTTCCTTCAGGCGCTCCCTCCCATGAGGTTAAAAGTGAGGCCTTACAGGAAGACCATAAAAAAGCAAAGGCAGGAAATGACCAAGGAAGTTCTTGAGGGGGTTTCTAGGTTTATATGCCTGGGTTGCATTTTCTTAAAATCCCTAAATGTGTTTTATAATGTATGTCTGACTTTTTCATTACATCAGGTCTTTCACGAAAACCTACCCTAGATTTTTTCCCCCAAAGAAATGCTAACAATACTACAATTGAGGCAGTTGTAGCTTAAAGGGGTATATAGATCAGTCAGAGTTAAAATGAAACTCTGTTTACTTTCTTGTGGGCAGAGAGGTGGGCCCACTTTGCCCTTGGGGAATACTGGTGCTTCTTTCTCTGCTGGTGCTTATAGGAGCCTTTGTATTTGTGGGCACCTACATATGACTCTTCAAATCAGCGTAAATGTGGAGGTGTTCAAACTGTCCCTGAATGGTGGCAACCCTTACCAGCCCAGAACCCTATGTGCTGGCATGGACTGCACCACAGGAAGTGCTTATAAAAGTCATCAGCTCGGCTACCTTCATTTGGAAGTGTGAGTGGTTGAGAAGGGCAGGGATCAAAATGAGACCTGATATTATAAGCTGGGTATTCAGAAGATAACGAGAAGAAGTTAAGTGTATTGTCCCCAAGAATCACTAATAAAAATCAGTTGAGGTTGCTTGGAATTTGAAGGGCGTAGGCTGCCCTGCTAAAACAGCACCCCCTAGTGGAGGTTTGGTAGAGCACAGCCAAGCCCCTTTCGTTCCCCAGAGGTAGTGAGTTGCCCTTCCATTGCATTTAGGGTGAATCTCTCCATTATCGTCACTAAAGAAGAGCCTAGGAGTAAGAACAATCTGATCTTTGTTTCAGAATTCATTATTTTTCTTTTCCCAAGATCATCTTAATATGTCTTACAGTTAAACTTTAAAATAATCTGTATTCTTTGGTGAAAAAAAAATAAGAGAAACAACCTAGAATGTACTGGGATAAATTGGAAGTAGCCAGAGATTATACCTCTTTTTAAAAATGCAACTACTGCAAAGCCAACAAATAAGAAACGGAGCATTTTATATTTTTATTGTAGAATTTATACCAAATTCCACTTAATAGATGTTCCTTATTGGAATGATTCAAGAAAATGAGCATCTACTTTTTCCTTAGAATATAGCCTAGACATTGGTGTGTATAGCTCAGGATTCATCTTTAAGCTTTTAGATAATTTTCAAAAATCATTGTCAGAAATTTTATATTCACACCATAATTATTTTTTTCTGAAATCTCTTGAGATAAACAATCTCTGCCAAAAGGTGCCATCAGAATAAAACCAAGGAAATGATATAAGTGCTGAGCAGAGGATTGTAGATAAGCCAAAAGCCCCAGGCAGATGTGACCCTAGGAGGGGCAGTGCCAGCTCCTTTACCCCCAGTCCCAGGACCACCTTGATGACAAATAATCGAGCACGTGACTCAGAGTGATGGACACGGACGGACATTGTTGTACATCAAGTGAGGGTCCAGATAGGGTGCATGAATCTGCTGGCTCACACACTGTAATCAGGGATCTCTTGTAAGGTAGGCGCATCTAATTTATCTGCTGTGAAACAGTGAGTTTAGTCAGCCTAATAAACTGGCCACCGGATCTGTAGTTTAATAGTAGGTCTCAGCAGACAGCTTCCTTGTTATAGGATATAATTCAAAAGTCATTAAGCCCTTGTTCACCCTGAATCAAAAAAAGATAGTGTTTCTAATGAAAATTGTCATCTGTTTGATGTCGTGGTATTGTCACAGTGCCGTCCTTTAAGAAGGTGGTGGACTGTCCACATCTGATTTTGCTGTGGAGAGTGGACAGCTAGGAACAAATCAAGAGACAGGAAATGTTTCCACTCCCCACACAGAATCCCGACAGCAGCCATAGAGGCCCACAGGTGTGCATGTGTCTCCTTTTGCCTTGGAATTCTACCTAGAAGTTGGGCGTCTGGTGAGAGCATGTACCACAGCGCAGAGTACATGCTTTGGGTCATTTCCTCGTTAGACATCACATTTGGGGGTTTGGCGTGTTTGGGGTGGTCTTGTGTATGTTGCATGTTTGTATAATCTCTGCACTGGAAAAATAACTTTTACAGCTCAGCTTCCTCAACCTCCCTAGCGCTGCGAATCTTTGGAATGCACCAACTCTTCCTCTCTCGCCGTCCCTTCTGTCTGCGCTGCCCTCAGTCCCTCACACCTTCCTGGGGCCTGAACATCCCTGTGTGTGGAAGGGGTTCCGAGGCACAGTCAGCCCTGTGACCCCAGCTTGTGTATATGTAGAGGCTCTTTCTGCCTTTAATAAGTTAACTCCAGATTCATCTGAGTCCTCCAGGGAAGTATGGGGTGATGAGGATTCAGGGCGTTGAGAAGTTCTTGCTGGGGTTGGGATACAGGCTTCTGTTGGGTGGTGGGGGTGGAATCCAGCCGAGAGTCACAACAGCCCTTGCGAGAGGCGTGTGTGGTAGCATTTGGTCTCAACCCGTGCCCCCTGTGCTTGCTCCCACAGACAGCCAGTCTGACATGGAGACATCAGCCACAGGAGGCGAAGTGCTGGACCTCACCTCTCGGGAGAAAGAGCAGCCATCATCAGTGGGCGTGTCTGAGTCTGGCCAGGTCAAAGAGGAGCTCCCCGCAGAGGAGGTGACTCAGGGAACAGCCGAGCCCATAGACAGGGAGGAACAGGGAGCCGAGGAGACCCTGGAGCCTGAGGGAAAGTGTGGTGTGGAGGAGCAGGGCGATGATGCAGATGGCCCTGAGGAAGACACTGTCAGCAACAAGAGCCTAGACCTCAACCTTGCCAGCAAGCTAATGGGCTTCAAGCTGGCCGAGGGCGATGCCGGTGCCATGGGCAGTGGAGGCTCTGCCCAGCAGGACCAGAAGCACGCCTGTGACATCTGTGGCAAGACCTTCAAGTTCCTTGGAACCCTGAGCCGCCACAGGAAGGCCCATGGCCGTGAGGAGCCCAGGGAGGAGAGTACGCTCCCTCGGGAGGGCCAGGGTGAGGGCAGGGTGGCCGAAGGGCCGCTGCCTGTCCCCACCACCCCTGCCCTAGACCCAGAGGAGAAGCCCGAGCCCTTGGCCGAGGGGGAGGCCACGTCCGAAGGCTCAGCGGAGAAGCAGAGTGAGGAGGCTGAGGGCACCTCTGACGGGGAAGGCATGGTTGAAAAGAAGTCCTCAAAAAGTGACGATGACAAGAAGCCAAAGACAGACTCCTCCCGAAGTGTGGCCAGCAAGGCAGACAAGAGGAAGAAGGTCTGCACTGTGTGCAACAAGAGATTCTGGTCTCTGCAAGATTTGACCCGGCACATGAGGTCCCACACAGGTAAGGACGGGCCCGGCCTCCTGAGGGGCTGTGGTGGTGGTTCAGGGGAACCCATTCCCAAGCCTGTTAAAGAAGGTGAGTTTGCTTCCCCTTTCTTCCTCTGACCCATGAAACTCAGGAGGAGCCTCCCCTGGAGCAGTGAGGAAACCTGGGCCAGAGAGCAGTGCCTGAGCTTGCACATGTGCCTGTTAAACTAGGAATGTAACCAGTTCTTGTAGTGCCTGCAACGGGCTCTGTGCAGGGAGGCAGTGGAGTGGTCCATCAGCAGTGGTGTTCTTGAGAGCACGCTGAGAGTCGCTTAGCCCTCTGAGCCTCCGTCTTCCTATCTCTAGAATGGGGATGATGGCTGTCTTCATATAAGCACCTAAAAGAATGTGGTTGCTGGGCATTTGGAGCCTGTGGCTCATCAAGTCCTGAACCTGTAAGGACTGTAGGGTGTGGCCTGGGGAACAGGCAGTAGGGACAGGTGCTTTGTGGGGCTCTGTTCGGAGACACCTGGGTTTGTTTCATCATTATTACAAATTCAGGTGGGAAGTTCGCTGCAGACCTGCCCTGTGAGGGGCTTTTCCTGTCCTGGCTTTGCAGCAGCTGGGCTGATGTGACTGAACAGGGTCCTCACCTGGTTGCCGCAGAGGCCTGTCGTCGTGTCTGTGCTCTGTACATGTCCTTACCTCCCATGGAATTTGCCAGCTACGGAGTTGAGGCCACAAACTAACTCCACAGCATGGGCCATTGTTTTGGTAGAAAGAAGGAGACCTAGATATACTCATGAAGCCAGAAGATACAAACATATTATCGCCCTCCCCCCTCCCCACCACACACACAAAGAAAAACATCTAGGCCCTGTATCTTGGTCTTGGCTTTCCTCTTTCCTCCGGCTGCAGCCCATGGTGCACACACGCGTTCCCTGTACCCTGCCCCCACCTTGTACAGCCAGCTCGGCCCTCAGCTGAGGGATTTGGAGGGCTCTGGGGCCGGCCCCCCAACAGAGATATTCTTGGGTTCCTAGCAGGTGGTGGTCTCAGCTGCTTACAGCCCAAGGTTTGTGAATGAGAAGGAAGCCCCAGCTGCTTCATAACAGAACATACCATGTCTAGTGCCTTTGAATTAGGAGGTGCCACTGTCAGCAGAGCCCTCAAATGGTGCCTGTCCCTGTGGGAGGGATGCTGCTGCTGTCTTTCCATGAGATTCTTCTCAGACTGGTCCGGATGTCTCTGAGGCTTCCACTTCTGAGATACTGGTTCCTAGATCAGTATGTGAAAAACCTGGGTTAAAAGATGCAAAGAAGAGAGAAAGCATAGCTAGCCCCTGGCATATCTGTTTTTTCTCCATTTTGCCAGTTCAGACAAATAAGAGGGTTTCCTTGAGTAGGAGTGTGTCCAGGCCCCTG